TATATATATATATATATATATGACATGTAGAAATATGTTTTAAATTATGTGACATATAATTAAAATGTCCAGTATATTGTAAAACTGTACAGACTACCTGAGAGCATAGTCATTTTAAATTTAAAAAGAAAAGAAAGGAAAAAAATGTTCTGGAATCATACAATTTTTCAATTTAAAAAATAAAATACACAAACTTTCTGATATACTGTCCACCAGTTTTATTTCAAATTGGTAGAATATTTTTCCCATTTCAAATGGGAAAAATATTTTACCCATTTTAAAGAAAAAATTAATGAATGAGACTATAACAACTGTAATTAAGAATATTTAAAATAAGGCCAAAAATATACACACTCAAAAGAAGAGAATGGCGGAATCATCTCTTTACAGCGATAGACAGTTTGTCTGCGACCGCTTGCCCATCGAGAAACTGTCGAGCGCCAACACCAACAGCCACGTCCACAGAGAACATACACGGGAGGAAATCGGACCTTGCGAGGTTGCCGGCAACGCTGTGGCCCTGCAGTCAGGTCAGGCAGCAAACAACAACAACAGCAACAGCACAGACAAGACAACATTTTTCTTTAAGGTTAGAGGTCAAGCTGCAGTGGTTCAAGTTAGTGATTTGTTGCATGGAAAAACAACATCCAATCTCCCTGGAGATGTCTTATCAGCGCAAGAGAATGTAAACACGTCATTTCCTGTAAGGAGAATCAGTCACATTGCATAAGATGCGACTTGCTCTAGCTCCGAGCTTGTTTTTCAATCACTCAAGCGGCCACGCTTTAAAATAAACATCTCAACCTCATTCTTCCACTCTGTGGTTGATAACCGCTGCATCAGCGCCCAACCAATTCAAAGTCACTCAAAGCGACAAATGTGTGGATCGTTTACGGTAGGATAGCTATGAGTTTTATTAGCCCAGCAACCCGAAGGTTCTAAAATGTTGGACTTTTAAGGTTAACAGGGCTAAAGGGCTGCGTTAGGTTAAGGTTAGCACTTTGGGGTTGGCTTAGCGGTTCGGGTTCGGGTTAGTGGTGGTTAGGTTAGCTAAAAATGTGTTACCCAAGAGGCTATTAGTGGCACGGTCACAGGAGGACAGGATGTACAATTTAACCCTTTCACGAAGCCTGTAACCTGATAACATGATAAGCTGTCCACTGTAGTAACCGCTGTCCCTCAACGGGTTAATATATAAAATAATTTCTCCATAGAATATATAAATATTTTTAAAAGTCAATTTTTTTTCCTTCGGCTTTTTCAAAACAGTTTTTTTTTCATTAAAAAAAAAAATAATAAAAACACTGGAATGAGACGAAAAGTGGCTGCTAAGAATATCGGGGTTCTATCTCCCCATTATAAAAAGATTAAGAAGACTATAAGACACAATTGTAAGGGTTTATGGTTGGAGTTAGCGATTAGCGATTGGGCTGAGGCTACGGTTAGGAGTTGGGACCAGCGGTTCAGGGTTAGCAGCTCTTGGTTAGTGCACTCTTGCGCGTCGGCATTCAAGCATGCCACCCAGTGACATGCTTGAATGCCATCTAAATGGCCTTGATATGTTGTAACATATTAGCTAGCAGGACTTGCATGTGATTCAAGGCAATGTTCATAGATTTGTTCTCAAGCACATAAAACACATCAATATAAGACACGGTTATAAGTGCTAAAGGTTGGAGTTAGCGATTAGCGATTGGGCTGAGGCTACGGTTAGGAGTTGGGATTAGCGGTTCAGGGTTAGCTTTGGGGTGAGCATATCTTGGTTACTGGACTCTTGCGCGTCATCACTGCGCGGCATGCTTGAATGTCAACTGAATGGCCTTGATATGTTGTAATATATGAGCTAGCGGGACTTGCATTTGGTTCAAGTTACTGTTCATAGATTTGTTCTCAGGCGCATAAAAATACATCAAATTGCTTCGGAATACAAAATAATAACAGAGGACATGGGAACAGATTAAATTGACCATATTTGGACATATGAGGTTTCTGTCCAACATCTATGATATAACAAATATCACCATTTTTATTGTTGTTGTTTTTTTTTTCTTCTGGGGCCAGCCTGCTGCACAGCTCTGACTGAGCTCAGCCTGGAAGACTCGTGTGCTCATCACATTGTGCAGGTCAGTTTATAACGTGAAATGACTCCCAAACAACAATTGAATCCATTTGACTTTGCCCATCAGGAAAACGGAATCTATATCCTCGCCAAATTGATTTTACCACAAAACTCCGGACCCAAGGTGTCATCTTTGCAGGTATGACGTTTTGTAGATGCGATATATAAGTTAAGATGATACACGTTGTGTGGTAACATGAGCCCAATGCGTTGGCAGTGTTACGCATTCCGGGCACTGCGCTTTCTCTTCAGCGTGGAGAGGAACAGACATCGCTTCAAGAGGTATTCATGACATCATGCCAGCCAACATGAGGGGTGTGTTAAGTCACTTGTTTTATTCTCCTTCCAGGCTCTTTCCCACGGACCTTTATGAATCATTTATTGACGTGGGCCATTACATGCGGGACCTGGAGGCCTATGAGGGTCTTCAAATCAAAGTGTCACAGTATTCTGTGAGAAATTAACACAAACCCGTCCAATTATTAAAGAGTTCTCTTGTCTTATTGAATGATATTTTTGGGGGCTGTCTTACAGGAGGAAGAGTTGGAGAGCCTGCGAGAGAGCATCATGGCTGTGGACCACAACCGGCCTGTGCTCCGGCTGATCAATGGCTACGCTGTACTGGACCACCTTGGCACTGGTGCCTTTGGGAGCGTATTGAAGGTGCAAGCTGGTCAGCATGCGGTGTCAGTCCAGAGTTGTCTTTCGAGCTGGCAGTAAATGAGTACAGATTCTCGATTGGGTTGTGGTCAGGAAATAATTTCTCCCTATAAACCCCGTAACACAGGATGCCGCATACAAGCACTTGTGACACCACAACTGTACAATTGCTTTACGGTCACTTAAAACAGAACAATCAAAATAATTGGGGGTAATTAGCCGCATGTTGCCTTCTTAAATCTCAAGACATTATCTGAGTTCTGCGACACTGTTGAGGGTTCCAGGTCCAGAAGCCGAGCGCTGGGAATATGGTGGCCCTGAAAGAGGTCAACCTCCGCAACCCGGCGTTCGGCAAAGACAAGAAGTCGCGAGACGGTAACGTGGAGAAGATCATCGCGGAGTTGACCATCATCAAAGAACAGGCCAGAGCTTTTTTTTTTGGTTGTTGTTGTTTTATTCAAACCAAATAAGGACTTCGTTCCTCCTCTTCATGCGTCTGTGTAAAATTATCCCCCACCAAGGAAATTTAGAATAGATAAAAATGTGTGATTAATTGTGATTAATGATGAGTTAACTATGACATTTATACATTTATACATTTAAGCGCGCTTAAATATTTTAATCGTTTGACAGCACTAGTTAAAACCAATGTTTTTGTCATGGTCTCTCCATAATGCGGATTTTCACCGATTGCTGGCGGGTCTGGACTGTAACTCCGCCGATGAACAGAGGATCATTGTTTTCTTTTGCAGATGGCCCACCCGAACATCGTTAAGTACTACAAGACCTTCGTGCACGGTGAGGGTCTTTTCTGATGATCACGTCGTCGAAGGAAAACGCGGCATGAATTGACTGGCTCGCCCTTTAAGACGACAAGCTGTATATTGTGATGGAACTGATTGAGGGAGTTCCTCTGCTGGAGCGATGCAACTCCTTGAAGGAGAAGAAGCAGCGCTTCACTGAGGAACGAATCTGGAAAATCTTCATCCAGGTAACAAAGTGTAGATGCAGTGTGTGTATATTGTCATCTTCAAAGGTACTATGTTTGTGTATGTGTGTTAGGGTTAAGGTTTGGGCGACTAGAGGGTTAGGGGAAGGGTTTCGGCTGAAATCTGCAGATCGTGGGAATGAAGTATCTCGTGGGTGTCATTTCCTCCACAGATGTGCCTGGCCCTGCGATACCTCCACAAGGACAAACGCATCGTCCACCGCGACCTGACACCCAACAACATCATGTTGGGCGACGAGGAGAAAGTCACCATCAGTAACATTCATCCTTTTAAGCAGCGACATCACATGTGTTTCAGCTGGGGTCTTCAGCATCTTTCTTCTCGCCCGCAGCCGACTTTGGCCTAGCCAAACAGAAGCAGGAGAACAGTAAGCTGACCTCGGTGGTGGGCACCATCTTGTACTCTTGGTGAGAAGAGACGGCAGCCATTTTTTTTTTTTTTTTTTTAGGGAAGTTTGTGGCAGTGCTTAGGAAAGCGCACTATTGATTTTCAAAAAGAAATTGTAGCCAAATCAAGACATATGTTGCGTGTTTGTGTGTGCACGTGTGAGCGTGTGCGTGTGTATATATGTGTGAGTGTGTAGTTATGCGGGAGAGTACGCCGTTGTGTGCGTGATTCTGGTTTTGTGATTTGTGCGTGTGCGTGTGTGTGTGTGTGTGTGTGTGTGTGTGTGTGTGTGTGTGTCAGTCCAGAGGTGGTGAAGAACGAACCATATGGCGAGAAGGCTGACATTTGGGCTCTGGGTTGCATCGTCTATCAGATGGCCGCCTTGGAGCCACCATTTTACAGCAACAACATGCTGTCGCTGGCCAACAAGGTGGCCTCAAAAGCACATGCAGACGCACACACGTGCCGAGACTTGTATAGCCATATGTACGAGAGAATCAACACCGTGTTGTTTTTGTGTTTCCGTAGATAGTTGAGGCCATCTATGAGCCACTGGAAGATGGAATTTACTCTGAAAGGGTGGAGGACATGATCACATGGTGCCAGTCATATTAAATTAACACATCGACAGTTTTTTAATGAACCAATCACATTTGAAAATGGTTGTGTTGAAAAGAAAAAAAGTCTTGAACCAAAAGTATTTGAATCTAGATTTTCAACATTATCTACCATAGACTGTTGAGAGACCTTAAACTCACTTTTCAAAGTAATTCCTTTGTGCCTGTTCTCTCTGTGAGGAAAACATATCATCACTTTGTGGAAAAGAAAAGAAGACTTGCACGCAGCTGTCCAAATAAGCCAGGCGTGCTTGATTCATTTGTCGCTGCAAATCTTAATTTCATGTTAATCCTTTCATGCACCCTGTAACCTCATAACATGATAAACTGCCCACTGTAGTAACCGCTGCCCCTGAAAGGGTTAAACTGAAGCATAAGTGAAACCAGGGTTAAAAATCAAAATGTTGAATCATATCATTTCAACTCACCAAAGTCCACCATCTTAATGTGAACACATGATGTGAAGTGCCACAGCATTGGAAGGTAATTCAAAACCTTCAAACATCTGCTGCTTTAACCACACGGAGCAGCAACACAAACAAACAGAACATACAACAATCCTCTGAGATGGCTTTTTTTTTTTGTCTGTTCTTTGCGAACAATGAGCGGTGGGGGTTTGGGAGCCTCAGTTTGACAAAAAGTGGTGCTTTACCGCCAATTAGGAACTTTTTGGGGGGTTGGGTGTCATTTACTCGCGGAGTTTTGCTATTCACAGCATGCCTCCATCCCACCTCCCACAAATAAAAGGCTCCAACCCCCTTTTTCAGTGGCGCTCTATTCCAGATTATTTTCCTTGTGCTGTGTATGAACGACGCAGGTGCTTGAGTCCAAACCCAGAGCGGCGTCCTGACATTGTGGCGGTCGGCTCCCGGATTGCCGACCTCATGATGAGGCACATGGACGCTTTGTATGCTTCTCACTATGCGCTGGAGAAGCGAGCCGAGCGCGACAGGAAACGGGCGCAGAGGTATTTCCTGGAAGGGTGCCGGAGCGGGAACAGCTGCTGCCGCTCATTCCCAACTCAGGTAGTTTGGGCTTTTTGGAGCAAAACTTTTTTTTAGAAAAATATATACGATTGTCAGGCTTGACTGTTAAGTGGAAAATGCTTCAATGAAGCCTCATTTTCGGTGTATGTGGACTAGGGCTGTCTTGATGAATCTTTTTATATTTGATGATCCTGTTATCCATGATCCATTGAATACTCCCATTGAAAACAGAAGCCAGGAAATTATTCAATTATTTTTCAATTAATTTTAAAGGTTGGATTGGTCACACTAAAAAATTCCATCGCTCATATCCCTGTTTTATGAAAAGCAAATACAATTTGTAACAACCATGAAGTCAACACATGATTTGCCTTCAGCGCGGCGATTTTGGGCCCCGAGCCTTGAATTTGAAACCTCTGCTCGAGTTTGTACACCTGCAAGTTTGACTGATTTTGGATGAGATGAAGAGAAATCACGTAAACCAATTAAGGCAGCAGTCCCCAACATTTTTTGCCCCACAGACCGGTTTAATGTCAGACAATATTTTCAGGGACCCTCCTTTAAGATGTGACGGATAAATGAATACAACAAAATAATATGATATGAACTGCATGAAAACTGTGGTATTTTCGAGACATAATAATAACCACGAATCATGACACGAGTAACTTCCTATCTGGCCTCAACACTGTCTGGTCGCAATTGTAACGTTTAAACGTGACTTCAAAATAAGATACACCGCAAATAGTGCATGAAAACTACGACTCACCATCGCCGAATATTATGCAGAGTGGGCTCGGTGCATGGGAATCTCCCCTTGAGATAAATCCGTATTTTAAGTACGAGTCCTGATACTGTCGATTAAATGTCGCCTTCTTTTTCTTGAAAGTCGTAGGCTCCTCTTCTGTCTCCTGGCCGGGCCCTTTCCTCTTCCCAAAGAAACTTTCCAAAGACGTTTGTTTTTTACTCATTTTGCTAGCTCTTGGGTTTCATTTTCGCGGTAGCGTATCACGTGACCGAGGAGCACGCCTTGACCTGCGTCAAGGGTGACATACTGTAGACGGATGTACCAAAGAATCTGAAATTTTTTCAAAATAAAATACATTTCGGATTTCAAAATAAATAAAAACGGAAGTAATCTAAGTTCTTTATTCTTTCTGTGCAGCCCGGTACCAATCACCCACGGACCGGTACTGGTCCGCAGCCCGGGGTTGGGGACCACGCCTTTAAGGGACAGCCGCATTGCCAAATAATTGCTCATTTGGAAAAGGAAAAATGCAAGAATTGTTTGGTTTGAACAGTATATACACCCCACTTAAGGGGGCGCTTTACAGAAATCGTGTTTTGAAATAATCTTTTTTTTTTTTTTTTTTGAACCGTTCTTCCAGAAACAAGCATTCTCAACACCTGAACTTGTGCACTTTCCGCCAAGCAACATGGAAGAGAATTTCAGTTTAGGTAACAACTATAGTTATCGAAGATCAACCACTCTGTGACAGAGAAAGTACATGTTAATATTGTTTCAGACGACGCTTCAGATCGTGAAGAAGCAGAGAATAAAGACGAGCAAGGGCGACACTACAGTCAGTTGCGTGTCTGCAGTTTATTTGACAAGCTTTTAATACACCTCGTACATCTAAGAGTTGATTTTTGTTTTTCTTACACCTTTTAAGGGTCAAAATCTGCTGCCTGCGATACACCTCATCTACCTCCATGTGGGCAAGTCAACCTTTGCTGGATTTACATGTCAGGGTTCGAGTGACAAAATTCAGATTTTTATTTTATTAATTTTTTGCACGCAAGATGCAAAATTGGGATATGCATATAGAAAAAAAAATCGCGTGGTTTCCGAATATTCCAATTGTGCCACTTGACAGCAAAAAATAAAAATAAAAAGCTGAATTGTTTCACTTCAAGCCAAGCACAATAAATCCAACCCTGTTGATGTCATGAGCAGCTTTCAGACGTGCTTTTTAAAATGTTTCTTTGTGTCCTTTCAGGGAGGATTTAGGGACAGCGAGGGTGAAAGCGAAATCAGGTATGTATTGAATGTCATTCTCAACTGTAATGTCGACTTTGAGAATCTCAATTTGGTCTGGGTATCGCCGCCGTGTCAGGAATCTGCGTCTCCCTGAGGAACCTTCGCCAGATCGAGGATCCAGTCCACAAGTTGCTGGTGCAACTGCACAAGGTGCTCTATATCACTCAGGTACACACTCCATTTCACCACTGGACAGTATTCTTCCCAAATGAAATCTTAAATCAAACACAAAATTTGATCCCCTTACCAGCTTCCTCCAGCATCACGTCACAACGTCAAGAGGCGGCTTGTAGAAAGATTCAAAAAGTCGCTGTTCCAGTTTGGCAGTGACCCGCACAACCTGAAGACGGAGCTCAGCAAGGTTGGTCACAGAGCCTCCATTTGGACTACATATCTGCTTTCTTGCCAACACTTCAAAAGGGAAGTGCCTGCGATGTTTCCACACTGCAGCTGGTCCAGGCGTCATGTGATTTAATGGAGTCTGGTTCCAGCAGTCCAGACTGGTGGCCGGTGGTGCTTCCCTCCACCGGAGACGCTGATGAAGACTCAGGTATGAGTGTGGTTTCCAAAAAAAAAGACACAAAAAACGTCCCATTAATGAAAACGATTGTGCTTCTGTCTCCCACAGGTGACATTCTGAGGGAAGGAGTCACATATGAGCAGATGCAGGTAGAAATTGAATTATTATTATAATTATTCAGAGGTGGCAAAGTACTCACAATCTTTGTAGAAAAAAAATAGTTCAAGTGGAGTCAAATCAGTATATTTGACTAGGTAAGTCTAAGTGAAAAAAGTCTAGCCTGAAAAGTTTGTTTGTGCGGAAGAGACTGACAACTATGTCGTACTGAATTGTGGAGCACACTGTAGCATTAAACTACTTTTTTCCCCATTAACAGAGTATTTGTAATTCGTTATATCCCGCCTCTGATGATATTTTCTCAAATTTGATGTTCCTGAAACCCCAACATGGTTGTCCTCAGGCCGTGGTAGAGGAACTGCTGGATGAGAGTGGCTACTACCGAGATGAGATTGGCAGGTGCGCTTCACCCTGGCGTCGAGTTGCTTTCTGTGTGGGCAGCGAGTAGGTTGCACAAACAGCACGCGGTGTGTGTGCGTATTTGTGTGTGCAAAACCACAGACTCAAATAGAAGTCAAGAAAAACAAGTTTATAGAGGAAATGAGCCTGTTTAGTCACAACCACACAAAGTGCATGTATACACACACACACACACACACACACACACACACACACACACACACACACGCGCGCCCGTGCACACACGCTAATATGATGAACATTTTGATTTTAATACGTGTTTTTAATAATACGTATACTGTAAAACAAGTTTACTAATGCATACAAATATTTGTTTAATGCATAAATGTAATTTGCAAATCAGACTTGAGTAGTTTAGAGTGTAACTGCAAATTTATGAAATAATAAATTTAAGTAAATTTTAGAATGTACCTAACAACTACACATGTAAACAACCATTTAAAAAATATAACATTCCATTATTGCTTTTTTTGGGATGGGGGGCTGTCAAAACTTGGTTTTAGTGGACAGTACTTTCTTTAGCCACAAGAGGGAGACAAAAGATTATAAACACGTTTCAATATGATGTAGTTTGGGTGCCTTTGTTCACTCTATTTTACGAGGTTCATTCTTCCCCGAACTCGATCAAGATCAAATTCCCTGTGCTTTGTGTTGATTTTAGGGAGGCAAAGAAGAAAAGCGAGCGCCGTCCGTATTCGTCCTCTTGAGTCACAAACGCAGATCTACCATTTGAACTTATTTAATGAGCTCTTGAGGTCTTTCTTTGCACCAATATCACGTGACACGTGGCTTGTATTCAGGTAAGGAAGCTTTTGCTGTTTTAGTCGCTTTCTTCAGTTTTGCACTTTAATCGACATGGAGAAAGAAAATCTCTGCACAAAAAAAGCTTTGTAGTTCATCTTGGATGCCTTCCGATTGAATCGGAGCATTATTATTAAAACATGGAATATGTGAAAACCCTCAAAATGCTATGCGTTGTGGTTTGTTAAACCCCAAGGATTGTACCTGTACTGTCATGTAGTGCTTTGATACGCCTGTAGAGGGGAGTGTAACGCTCAAAAGAACTGAATCATAACCAATTTTAAATCATTGTAAATGTAGTCAGCGGGTGTTAAATATTTTAATGACAAAAAGTACACACCATTGTTAAGCAAGCGGCTCTGAAATGAGACTTGTGCTGTTGTTAAGAGGTTGCCATGGCAACGTTGCTTTCTACAGACATCAAGGGATGCTTAGCTGAGGTACCTAATACTTGACAGTCTCAGCTCTGAAACACTTGTTAAGGCGTCATAAAAGATCGCAACATTAGCTTGAAGCTAGACTTGGCAGTAGATTCCGTCACTGGTTCTCAAACTGTGGCTTCTTTGGGGGTGGGAGAACTGGGGGTCCAAAAAATAACCTGCGGTAATTAAAATGGTATCATTTGAGAAAGTGAATACCTACATATGGGACATTTGCACCATTGAATAAATAGTCTTGCCTTACTTCGCTTTCACCCAATTAAAAGCTCAGATAAGATTGTGACCTATCATCAGATTAAAATTTTTAGAAGAATATAGACCCGATATTTTCCTAAAAACAAAAGATATACGTAATGACAGTGTTACCTGCCTGTTTGTGAATTTGTGGCTTCTCTTTTTAAATCTATCCTCCCATAGTTGCTGAAATATTTGCCTATTTGCTGTTTTTGTGCAACAGGCAACCCCCCTCCAACAGAAAAGTAGTGCCTTGGTGTCCTCTTTTCCAGGATAAAATACATCATTCAATTTTTGTAATTCACTTGCTGAAATCTGACTTTGTTAACCTTTGTCTTCATGTTTAGTTGCAATCCTAACAGATTATGCACGAGGCTCTTGGGGGCAAAAAATATTGAACCTTTGTCTTCATGTTTAGTTGCTGTTAGGATTATGCACGAGGCTCTTGGGGGCAAAAAATATTGATATATCAAAAACAGTTTCAGAAGTCGCTGAGAGCTCTCGTTCTAAGTTAGTGACATGATGCGAACGGTGCCGTGTGTGATTAACACGTGTTTCCGCTCACATGCAGGCTCACGGGCCCACGTGGCAAGTCAATTATGAACTCGCCTCTGAATCTTTTTTTACCCTTTATGGAAAAATCCAATTACACACGGACACTATTCAGCTTTTCCAATCACGCGGCGTACAAACAAGTGACCAGTATTCGAATGGAATGTAAACATTTTTCCTAAAATGTACATTCTTGTCACTTGTCAAATGTAAACTTCACAAAAAAAGTTAAGATGGTCTTTTTTATGTCTTCATGACCCAATTGCAAGTGCTCATTCTTGGTACACCAATCAAAACGCAGCACTGTGTCTAGCCCCGCCCTTTTTTGATGGCGCCCAAAAGTGGCACAGAGCAGATGTTATACTTGCTACTCTGTGTAAACTGGATTTTAGTACCCAAAGGAATGGGACGGTAATACCGTTTCTCTCGCTCGCTACCATTTTGGACCTTTTCAATGCCTGTAAAAGGTGCAAACTGTCCAAAAGCAGTCCAGAAACTAACTCCTACTGTGTACCCTGACATTTAACATGAGGTAAAATAGATCCATGAGCTGTCTGAGCAATATAAATACATCCGGAAAATCTTAGAAAAGGTTAGATTTTTTTCTTGTTGTTTCCTGAGATGGTCAAGTTGACGAGCGCATCCCTCGACCGTCCGAGAGTTGGCTATCGTCTTTGTTTTCCGGGACCTCATCCAGCATCTCCTGGATCAGAGGTGGCATGGCGCCCGGGATTTCCATCTTTAGTGTGACCACACGCTCAGCTCCTGGAAAAAAAAAAAAAAAAAAAACACACGGAACTTTCTTTAACCCTTTCAGGGACAGCGGTTACTACAATCGACTTTGATATCAAGGATACTTAAGCCGTTTGAGCATTTATTGAAGGTTAAGGGTATGCCAAGTAAGGTCATACAATTAGGCCAAAGGTGGTCCTAATAGTGGGAAACTTTAATTGGCCAAAAAAAAAAAAAAGTATTTCCTGTAAGTGGTCCCTGGAGCCAAAAATTTCAAGAAGCTCTGTTTCAGGCAGTATTTTTTTGGCACCTTTCGCGCTGATGCTGCGCAAGTCTGTTATCTTCATGAGCGCCCTGGGGAACAGGAGTTGTGCACTGGGTCGACGTTTTCGCGAGTAGATTTTCAGTGCCTCCAGCAGAGGCTCCTGTAGAACCTCCACCTTGGACGGCTCCTTGAGGTCCTGCCGATCTGCAAAAAAAAAAAAAAAAAGCAGAAATGGGTCATTTAAATTTGTGAGGACTTGTGTTTGCGCTGTTTGTTAATACGTTGCTGCTCCAAGTAGTAGAGTAGCAGTTATTTGTTGAGAAATACAGTAACATCTATGCTAATTTCCATTAGCGCATCTATGGCGTTTCCTATTATATGTTAGCGTTAAGCTAGATGACTTTTGTTAGACAAAATCACATGACTTGTTTGAATGTGTTTTTTGTTTGTGTCTTTACGTGTTAGTTCTGGACCGCATCCTCCGTGTGTTTGACTAACGGCGCCAGAGTTTAAGCTCAATAAATAAATTTTTGAGCAAATTGAAATAAAACCATTGTTATGTCATTTTTGGGACATTTTTTTTCTTAATTTATAATAATAGCGTTGGACGAGGGTTGCAAATGTATTGACAAGAGCATGCGGTACCCCCGGAGACGAGGCAGATGGCGCTGAGGAGTCCGCTCTCGGCGTCATCCATCTGCAGAGGCACCATCTGTCCAGCGAAGGTGAAAACCGGATCTGTGAGCGGCCCAAAGCCGGCATTGTGGATCTGAGTTCGAGTTAGGGTCAGGCCGTCCGAGAAGGTCATGGTGTCCTTGTCGGGTGTGTAGCGAGCACAAATCCTCAGAATCTCAACAGCCAGGAGACAACAAACTTAACACAAAAACTGAAAGGGATTCCACTGAAGTTCTTTATTTTGTCCCTTGGAACTTCTTAGATTTTGTGATACAGTATGATATGCGCCTGCATATCCAAAATTTACAGATGGCGCCAAAGCACTTCTTTCCTCTTAGGCAGAGCTTTGCCACTTTCTTGTTTGGCATTTTAGAAAGCGCACAAAAACAGTAAATAGGTGAGTTGTTACGTGAGCAGTGGTTCCTCCCAAAAAATTACAACCAGGTAAACTTGCGACTGTTGAATCACAAACAGTTGGATTATGATGAAAAAAATTCTTCATTTGCCTATTGCTCACCTCAATAGCAAATTCAAGAGAATTATCACTTTCAGTCAAAAAAACAAAATGAACCCAATGTCATTGAAAAAATATATCCAGTGTACAATAACAATACATTTTTCTCTAGTTTGCTGCCAAATTTATTCCCGATCCACAATTTTTTGGGGTCTATTTTTATGGAAGCAACTCATGTTTATACGATTAAAAACAATGGATTCAGGTTCCTACACCAAATGTCATCCAAATCCAACTTTTCGACTTTTTTGTGATATAAAGCGCCGATTGGTTAAAGTAGAAAATAGTTTCTCACCAGCATGTCCAGGCAGGCGGCCCGAAGCAGGGTGATCTGGTCGGCCATGTGGAGACTGGTAAACCCGGGCACCCTCTTGGCAAACTCGACCACCTTGATGATGCACCTGGTGGCCAGCTCGCTGAACTTGTCCCAAAGACCCAAGTCCAACCGGATCCTCTGCTCAGAGCTGGACCTCTACATGGAGAGGAAGACATCAAGCTGGCCAAGAGTCTCTTATTGCCTCCTACTATTCACTCAAAGCGACGATCAATACTATTAAGACAACGCAACAGGACAGCGTACAACTTTCACAATCAATATTTCTATCATAACATGACAAAAGCATACAGAGTCAATAAAATACGTCATACTCACCCAAGATGAAGATTACGAAATGTATAAGTATGTGTAGATCGCTCAAGACGTGTTTTGCTAGTTGAACAGTTTTGCTCGGAACAACCAATCATGACAATGCAAAAAATATTACGGATGAGGCATGGGTTTGGGATAACTGGGAACAAAAATCAATTAAGAAAAAAAGATGTCATACCAGACTAAAAGTACTTATTTCTTCTCACGAACGGTTTCGCGACTGCTGCGCTCTTCTGTTTTGTGACGTAACGTCAGCCGAAACAAACTGAGGCGAGCTATGCTATTTAGCTAGTTAGCCATCTCAGGAGCGAGTTGGCTAACTCGTGAACGTGTACCTTTATGTATATAAAAGGTAAATCTCGTAGCTGGTTGTAAACATTTATTCACAGTAATAAATTCATGTTACCTTGAATTCGTTGAAGAGTGACGGGCGGCACGTTCATAAATATGACATTGTATTCGAAGTATTGCTTCCAATGGCAGCCACTCTTGGGAAGTAAATTTTGCATATCCTTCCTCTTCCTCACATTTTTGACACAAGATGAAAAGTTTTGTCAGTTTTTGAAGCCGTGACCTACTAAAATCACAGTATACCTTGAAACCGGTCCCGAGCCCATGCCCATCGAGGACAAATTTAAAATCCAATTGGTGAAAGAAACAGGCCCATGGCTAATATATTTCAAGTAATATGGGTTAGGACTACTGATTGTGAACGTCCTCGGGAGGTGGTAACACAGAGGCTGAAATGTTCATAATTCCCTACTGATTCCACAGGCTGGTAGCAAAGCACTACTTTTGTTTAAATGAAGCTCCTCAACTTAATTCAACGTAGGTACAAAGATGCCACAAGATGGCGCCAAAGCACTGCGTTTATTCCGCCAACACTCACTGTGGTGTATTGTCCGAGTTGGCGCAGAGGTGGGAACGTGTCCCTGTGCGCCCTGCAGATCTTCTCCACGATGGCGTCCAGCTCGGCCGTCATCTCGTACGTGTCGCCGATGGCCATCTTGAGAACCTCGTCCTCCTTCTTGGCCTTCTTCTGACTCGTTCTGTCATTCCTCACCGCTGAAGCCAGCAACGTGCCAAATGTTAATTGTTTTTCATCCATCCATCCATTTTGTAATCCCCTTATCATAGCGAGGGCGCCAATCCCAGTTGTCTTTGGGACACCCTGAACTGGTCGCCAGCCAATCGCAGGTCACACAAACCATTCGCGCTCACAATCATATCTCTGGACAATTTAGACTATTCAGTTAACCTGCCATGCATGTTTTTGAAACGTGAGAGGACACTGGAATACCCGGAGAAAACCCACACAGGCACAGGGAGAATATGCAAACTCCACACAGGCCGCAGCCGGAATCGAACCCTGCACCTCTGCACTCAGAGGTGGACGTGCTCACCAGATATACACTGTGACGCCTGATGTAAAGCTTTATTGTATTTTTTAAAATGTAAATTAATTATGTTGACATAAAAAAAACATAATTTAATGCTAAATTCTTCCACTTTCATGTTGAATTTTAAGGAGTGCTTGAATTAGCCATTTTAATAATAAAAAGTGCAACCGTTTATTTTAATGCTAATGTAAACAAATTATTAATGTTAATTGTAATTCAAAATTTTAATGCTAGTTTTTTAATGTCAAATGTTAAGGTAAAATGTTAATGACAATCTTCATTCTAAATGTTGAAGCTTTTCGAGATTAATTTTTTTAATTGTAATTCCAAATGTTAAATTTTCCAGTAAATGTTTTGCAAATCGAATGCATTCTTAAACCTCAAACACATGTTAAATCCTCAAACAGTTTTTGTTTTTTTTAAATCCTTAAACATTTGTCACGCAAACAAGTCAAACATTTGTCACTCAAACATGTTTGAGATCCAAACACATTTGTCACTCTTAACTGTAAACATAATTTGAACTCAAAGAGGTTTGTGACGAAAGCAGGTTTTTAACCCTCAAACATGTATGGAACACAAACACTTGACTTAAACAGAGCAGCAACCCAAAGACACTCTGTTTTTAAAAGTCAAACACATTTGTAACGCAAACCCATTTCCCCACGTTGTCCCACTGACTGAGGCACATGTACGTGGATGCTATTACGCAACAGGCCACGCTGCCCTACTTCTTCTTGTTCTCCTCTTGCCGAGTGTAAAGAGTCCAATGTGAGGAGCTCATGTTACGTCCTTATTCCATCTTCCTGCATGTGTCTGCGTGTGTCTATGTGTGTGTGTGTGTGTGTGTGTGTGTGTGTGTGTGTGTGTGTGTGTGTGTGTGTGTGTGTGTGTGTGTGTGTGTGTGTGGCGCACCATGTGACGCCCCCCTTACGTAATGTACCACAGCCTGCCCGCCTCCGCGACATGTGGCCACGGCTTGACCAATGACAGAGCCTACCTGCTACATAATTCACACACACATGCGGCCGCTGGGCTATGTGGGTCACTAACACGTATTTGCAGGCACATGCACTGACATTTTTGGGGGGACAGGTGCTCAAGTAAAAAATGTCAGAAAAAAAAAAAAAAAAAAGGCCAGTCAACACCAATAACTGATATAATTGTCAGTATCAGTGACGGGAGGGCATTTGGTTAACATGGCAAAAAAAAAAAAAAAAGTCTGCACTGTGCACACAGCATCCGCGCACTCACACGCTCACACACATGCACTGATTAATTCAGCCTTATAACAACCAATATGCCACGGCGGCGCGCCCACACAGTCACACGCAATATTAAAGCAAATACATGCCAGGGCAGCCATACGCACACGTTCAACTTTAAAAAAAAAAAAAAAAAACTTAGTTTATTCCACATCATGCGATGGGTAAATTAAGCACATGATTTAGCCTTTGAGGAGTTGACACGGCACACTACAACGTCAGGAATAGGAAACCAAGGCCTTGAAATCACGGATTTCAGTCAGACAAAAACCATGTGTTGTCCTAGCATAGATGCCGAGCAAGTGTTGTCTAACACGATCCTGTTCCCCGCCCATATTCCAACTTATATAGTTTTGGGGGAGTGTTTAGTAAGGTTCAATGTGGTTCACTAGTATCAGGTTTCTAGTGGTGCAACAATGTTTTTCCCAATGAGCTTACACTCAAATTTAAATGAAATCATTGGACATATTAAATGCACAGCCAGCCACTAAAGTACTTCACTGAATACATGCTTACTGTAAGTATGGTGGGGCAAATATTCAAGGCTTTCAAATCAGGGTTAGGGTTTCAAAGTTGCATTTGATGCTTTGGTTAGAGTTGAAAACAATGATTATGGTTTAAAATTAGAATGTAAAGCCGGGGGAAGGATTTCAAGTTAGGGTTAGCTTGTTTTAGGATCTCAGATTAGTCTCCCAAAATGGGGTTAGGGTTTTATATTAGGGCTTGAAGGCAAGATTAGGGCTTCGAGCCAGGTCAAGGGCTTCAAATTAGGTTTTTAAAATCGGGTTTTCAAAGTGGGATTTGAAGCCTGTGTCTTCCAAGGGTGTAGTACTGGTGCTAATGCTAACGGTAGCCATCAAAGTGTGGGTTTGCACTTACATTGTTGGGACATGCCGACAGCCAAACACTTGTGTAGCCTGCAGTACTGACACGTGTTCCTGGTCACCTTGGTGATGACACACTTCCTGTCTCGCTGACACGTGTAAGACATTTTCTTCTGGACGCTACGGCGAAAGAAACCCTGACCAAGGGAGAGGAATATTAGATGAGAAAGCATCTCGCCCATTGCTAACCTAAATGCAGCAACTACAGTGTTGACCAAGAGTTGAATTCAAATTTAAATGACTTGGAATCCCAAAAATTGTGGACTTCACAAATCCACACTTTCTCTTGTGACATGTTTTTGATTAAAAAAATAAAACATCATCATATAATAAAAAAAAAAAAAAAACAGAAAGAGAATGTCAAAAAAATGATTTTTCAAACCGTAATCACTGTACATAAGGTGCTCCCCTGCTGATGCTCCCCCCAAAAGGTTTCTATTTGCCTTGGATGCCATAAGATGGAGGCAGGGCACTACTTTTGTCAAAATGAAGTGCCTCAACTCACTTCAACATGTTCCTTGGTACCATTATGCCACAAAATAGTGGTAAGGCAATACTTCCGTCTAAATGAAACCCCTCAAACTCATTTTAGCATACTTCCCCGGTGCTCCAAAGCTACAAAATGGTGGCAAACCACTGCTTTTGTCAAAAAAAGTTCCTCAACTCACTTCAACATACGTCCTTGACACCAAGATGCAACAAAATTGCAGCAAGACACTGTTTTTGTCTAAATCAACCTCCTCAACTGACTTCCACATATTTCCTTTGCACCAAGGTGCCACAAAATGGCGGGAAGGCACTATCTTGGCCTGAATGAGACCCCTCAACTCACTTCAACATACTCCCTTGGCGAAAAGATGACACTAATTCGTAGTAAGACACCGCTTTTGTTCAAATGAAGCACCTCAACTCACTTCAGTGTACTTTCTTGGCACCAAGATGCTCCAAAATGGCTGTAAGCCACTGCTTTTGACTAAACCAAGTTCCTCAACTTATGTCAGCATCTTTTCTTGGGACCAAAATGCCACAAAATGGCAGCATGATAATGGTTTTGTTGACATGAAGTTACTCAACTCACTTCAGCATACTTCCATGGCCCCAAGATGCCACAAAATGGTGCCAAGGGAACATAGTTCCAGCCGAAATTCTGCAAATTACAATCATTTGCGAATATATGAGGGAAACACTGTCCTGTAGTGTTGGTGTCTTGGATGTGTGTCTGAAAGGGGCGTGGCCTAGCGTGGCCGGGTGTGAGTTGTGGCCTCCAACAGCTCTTTGTGAGCCTTCATATCTTGTCCATTTCTCCAATCGACGTAACCAGTAGCAACGTTTGACTCCATCCGACCAATCAAACGCAGCCAAACAGTCACATGAATGCATGCACGCAAAGTACCCGCGGCCCCACACAGAACATTGTTCAAAGTGACTCATTTACGCGAAGTAACATCTGCAATTCGCATTCAGAAGAGGCTCACGTTCAACCAAGGTTTATCTTACACTTTACGAAAACGAACATGCGCTGTCATGTGTGCCGAAAAATGTCCCACATTTCAGCCTACAAGAACTCCACTTTGAACTTGAGAAAACTGTTCAACTGTTAGTTAGTTATTGAGTAGTTTTTAGTGAATACTTGTTTACTCTCACTCAAGTAATTATTTGGAGAATACATTTTTTACTTTGACTTGAATCATATTATTCAGAAGTACCAGTGCTCTGAAATGAGTACAATTTTCAGCTACAATACCCACCTCTGACGGAAAGTCAAGGTCTGGCTGTGTAGCGTTCCTTTACCTACCTTGCAGCCCTCACAGGCACTGACACCGTAGTGGTACCCTGATGACTTGTCCTGGCAGATGAAGCAGGGTTTGTAGGTGCGAGGTGGCGGAGGGGAGGCGGCGCAGTTGCTCAACGCGTGCTCGCAACTGGACAAACTGCTGGGGCTTACCACGGCTGAAAAACAACGTTTCAAATTTGGCTTTCAAGCAAAGGTTAGCGTTTGAAATTAAGCTGTCAAGACCGGGCCTGGGTTAGAGTTTCAAATCAGGGTTTGGCCTCACCTGGGTTCGTGTTTTAAATTTAACGATATTAGCTCTTTTAAAATCGGCCAGAATTGGTAGATTTCGGCTGTTTGTTTTTTTGTTTATTTCTTTTCCACATTAACACATTACAATATAGGACAAAAAATGCAGTTCATACACCCCCCCCATAAAAAAGAAAATGCCAGTTTTTGCTGATTTTTCTCTCTATTGTAAAATTAAAAAATTTACATACACACAATATATAGGAAAAAGTATTATCAAACAGTTCAATGTTCTGCCTGTAATTTATATTTTTATTGTTGTAAGCTTGAAGCACTTCAAGTGACAGCCAGGCAGACAGCATACGACCTAATTTTCCAAACATTTCGCCTTTACACATTTCATGTCTTTCATTACGACGTGACATCATATCTTTTTACTGCTTTAGCAGAAAATCAGGCCAGTGCGGTTCGTTACCGTCAACACAGTCGCTGCACTCACGTCCGCTCCGCTTCGCGGTGTACTTACACTGCCAGTGTCCGGGGAAGAGCTCCGGATGTTCGGCCGCACCGCGCCGCTGCCCTCGGCGGTGGTTCTCCGAGTGACGCTCCAGGCGACGCCGGCCTGTGCAGTCCGGGCTGCCGGCCGTCACCTCGCACGGGCTCGCCGGCTCCGCGCTGCCGAACACCTGAAGGTCCATATAGTCGAACATCTTTTCGTCTTCTTTGTCTTATTGTTCCTATTGTTTATGAAAATTAGGTGGTTTTCTTTGTCGGTGCGTCGTGGAGCACAAGCAGCAGAGTTTGTTGTTTTGAAGCAAAACCAAAAAGTTGGACGGGTCCACACTCGAGGAGTACACGAAGAAGAAAAAGGAGTCAGTGAGCACTCGGCCTGAACTCTGCGTGACCCGCCTCCGAGCTCTGACCTTCAAATGACCCACTGTGACGTCACGGCACGTTCAGCGAAGAGCTTTTGAATCCTTTTTCTTTCTTTCCGTGACTGTCCTTTTTGTTTTTACTTTAAAAAAAATCACATTAAGGAACTTTTACAAAACAAGACGAATACAACCCTAAAACAATAAAAATGCAGACGTAACAGGCTTACCAGGAAAAATAGCAAGATTTGAACTAAAATCATTCCGATGTAACAAGAAAAAAATGTTTGCCCTTTTGCAGAAATATGACTTTTACGCCTTGTATTACAACTTGTTTCTCATGTTACAATTTTTGTTTTTCAAAAAGAGATTTCGAATACTTTTCTCCCCTCCCCAAAAACAAATTCTTAGTGTTGATTTTTTTTTCAGACGTTTTTTTCCCCTCTCAAAGTTCACGCTCATGAAAAAATTTAACTTCATACCTGTACAACTGTACCATTTTAAAAATATATATTTTCCTGTAATATTATGGAATTTGATCTACTGACTTTATTCCATAAATACTTTATTGAATACTTGGACTTTTACTATTTCCAAAAAATGACATTTTTTTGTCTTTGACAAAAATGACTGTTTGTGTAAGAACCATTTCTTTCAATAATATATAAACATAGTGTATAAAAAAAATCTAAGAAATATTTAACCGTCATAAAATACAGCTTTATCTCTAAACAATATGGCTTTATTGTTATATCTTATTATTTTAAGTAGATGATCTTTAATGGTTGTTGAACCAATGAATTAGTGTCGAAGCAGAAATCTATGTCTTTGCAATATTTTAATGCCTTTGTTTCTTTTTTCCTTGTTTTAATGCCTTTGTTTTTTCTCTCCTTATGTCTGAGTCACTTTGCTGTTCAATTGTGCGATACAAATAACTTAGCCTTGCCTTTATTCTCATAAAATCTTTTCAAATGAGTCATAATTTTGACTTTTTTCCGAATAAGACCATTCTCATTAGATAAATCCTTTTTTTAATTGATATTGACTTTATTCTCACGGGTTGACAAAATGTTTCCTTTAAAATTATTACTCTTGAAAAAGTCCTCCAAATATCATCAAGTTTTTTCCTCATAAAAATATGGCTATTATCTTAACATTCTGCTTTTTGAAAAAAATATGACTATTGTATGTTAATGTGTAAAAATTTAAATTTTCTTTAAAAAAAAAAAAATCTTGTAAGATTAAGCCTGCTTTTTCAACATCCTGAGCACATCACTTTGTTGCTCACTGTTGGCTTGCAGCTTGGCTTGTGAAAGCATAACAACTTTCCCCTTGCAGTGTGGTATAATTCCTCAATCCATCATTATTAGCCAAAACAAAATAAAAGAAGGTCATCTTTTCAAAGGCCAGCAGAGGATGGAAAGCATGTGACCTTTTTACACAATCAATAGCAGGCCTCGTTTGTCTTCATCCACGATGTCTCCTCTTCCTCATGCTTTGACTTTAACAGAGAAATATTTGCGCTTCTGATGAGTCCTAATTCAATCTGTTGCAACATAAATAAAGTGGCTCATCTTTAAAATTGGATGAGAGGAGATGTGTTCTATTTCAAAATAAGAGACACAGGGAAAATGCAAATCGCACCCACATCACTGCGCAATGATAAAAAAAAAATCTAATTCTTAGCAATTTAGCATTGTCCATTGTCTGCTGGTATACCTGTTTCAAATTTAGTAGCGATTGTACAAAATCTGCAGAACAAATGTGTCTTTGAAGAATTGACCCAAGACTTCCTTTGTGTGTTTGGGCAGAGCTTCTTGAGACTTTTTTTTTGTAGGTCTCTTCATGATAGATGTGCTTGGAGGGACCGCTGAAAATTGCTTCAAAGCAAAACAGCAGACTTTCTGTTCCCTTTTAGACAAAGGTTCTTATGATTTTTTTTTTGTTGGTCTACTTATTATAGACATGTCAACCAAATTTCATGTTGCTAGGTAAATGTTTTTTTTTTTCATGGCTGAGGTTTTAAAAAGCGACCAAACATAACTTTTCTCAGAGAAAATAAGATCAAATGACCCCCAAATATATACTCGTGTACTAGGTGCCCGTCAAAAAATTGGAATATCACTAAAAAGTAGATTGATTGAAGCAAAACTATTAACAAGTGAAACTTGTGTAATGCATACATTCATTCCACACAGATTGACACATTTCAAGGGTTAATTCATTTTAATTTAAATAATTTTATCTGAAAATGAATGAAAAATAAACATGTATATATATATATGTATATGTATATACACACACACAATGATTTGCAAGTCATGCCTGAGAATTATTTTTATTGTAAAAAAAAAAATCCCAAGAAATCTTCTAGTGTTTTTGAGAAAATGGACTTATTCTTGAGCATTTATTTTTCATGAGAATAGTCTTATTTTTGAGAAAGAAAAAGGTTAAAAACAATTTTAAAGGCCAATTTAGACAAAACCTTGATTTGAGACAAAATGTATGACTAGATTCTTTTGGGTGGCTCTGGAATAGTCCTATTTTTCAAGAAAGCCACCATTTTTTTTTTAATCCATACAGTAGTATAAAGGTATTATGAGAATTGAAATGTGGTCAAACATCGATGCGCCTCATGTCTCCTACAAATAAAAACACACACAGACTTCTCATTTTCTTCTTCTCCCATATTTATTCATTTATACTATACATATTTGTCTATGTTCAAGAGATATTTATATATATATATTTTATGTATAGATATTTACAATTGACAGTGTTGCCAAGTACAAGAAACAAAAATGGACGACACTTTTCCATGTTCAGTGCCGTGCAGAAAGCACATTTGATTGTAAAACAAAAACAAGAAAATCATACATAGAAAAGTGGAAAGTTCAAAACTAAACAATAAAAACCGAAAAAGCATGATGACGTTTGGGCCTCAAGCTGGTTGCCACCTTGCTTCGGTGGACTCAGGCCAACTTGTGTGAATGTCTGGAAATCTTTAGGCGGCGATGCGCGTAAGGGGTGAGGTGACTTGGGGGCGGGGGGTGTTCAAGAAAAAAAAAGGTATAAGAACAACAACAAGAACACTAGAGTACTAAACACACACACACAGTCAGCGGAGAAGAGGAGAAGTGGCCACAAGCACGTTTAGCCATGCATCAGCATTAGCAGCACATTGGTCACATTAGCTTTTTGTCGCTATCAACATGCATCGAAACGGCTTGCAAAAGGAAACAAATCAAATACAAAATGAGCATCATTTGCATAACGCCGGTCAAGTTTTCAAGTGCCTCTGTGTTGGTTTGCAACAATCCTCTCCACGAATACAGTACGACTTCTTCTTGTCTTTAAGAGTCCATTGGTCGCCCCGACCGTCCGGGTGTGGGCGTGGCACGCCGGTTCGTCCGTCAGGGGTGCACCTTGAAAGAGAGCAGCTCCTCCGAGTGCATGTTGTTGAGGGATCGCAGCTCGGGTAGCTTGAGCAGCAGTTTGGTGAAGGTGGTGGCCGCCTCGTCGCCGTGGTTCTGCATAAGGAGCTGGCGCAGGGCCCGAATCAGCTTGTCCTGCAGGGCCTCCACCGCTGTCAGGTCCTGCAGACCTGACCGATCTGCAACCGCACACGCAGGAGGGAGAGAGAGAAAAAAGAAAATTCGGTCACCTGATCAACAACCCCAATTTTTTGGACTGCCAAAATGGGGCCTCGGCTGTATAAAATACAAGTTCATGTCATGTGACTAAATTATGGCGCAAAATTCTTATAAAATTCTTTTCTGAAAAAAAATCTGAATATTTTAAGTGTTTCTTTGAAATAAATTACTTTTACTACTTAAAAAAAAAGAGTATCTCAGCCATGTTACGATTACCTGCCTGAAACGCCCCCAAAATTCTCAATAATGACATAATTCTTGAAAAATGTGTTTAAAAACAAAAAAATGAACAGATTTTTTTTTTTGTAATGTTATGGGTTTGGTTGCTTGGTTAGTACTTAACTTTAATCCTGTCATATTTACATTCAACATTCAAAAATAACATCTCCAAATAAATGTCAGGGTTATGATAATCCTATTTGACTTTCTTCTCAAAATGAAAAACATCCTTGTTGTATTTTGAGCATGTTTCGCTTTTCTTCCCTTCCCCGCCATCAACTGTTAATTTGTTTTTCATGACATTACCAGCAGAGACGAGGACGACGGCAGTGAAGAGGCTCATCTCGTCGCGGTCAAGCCTGAGCGCGGTAAGCTTCTCGCTGAAGTCGCACATGGACGCCAGCAGTTCTCCGGCGCCCAGTGCCCGCAGCGTGTCCAGGCTGTAGTGCTTGCCGCTCAGGAAGGTCACCGTGCGCTCGGCCATGTTGAAGAGCGAGGCGAAGCGCACCATCAAGACCTGACACCGCAAATGCACAGAGTGACTCGGGCTGTCGCGCGGATGTTTTTCAGGACGATGAGGTCGGGGGGCGCGGGCCTACCTCGAAGGTGCCGGCCTTGAGCAGTCCCACTTGGTCGTGCTCCAGGAGGTCTTTGAAGCCCGGGATCCTCTTGGCAAACTCCACCACCTCGCGCACAGCGGGTGTGAAGCTCATGGAGAATTCCTCCCAGATCTCCTGGCTGGGCTTGTTGGGGTCAACGTACGGGGACGTGTTCATGGGACATACCTGACAAGGAGGAAACTGGATTTAACAGCGACCCCATGCAATGTGTGTTAAAAATAAAACAAACAGAATGGGAGACTTGGATGTAACATGGTGAGAAGAGGCGGAGAAATGTGGAAGGACAAACCCTAGCATGTAAAATATAGATTTTGGGGGGGGGGGGGGGGGATTTGTGGAAATTTAGGCCCTGTGACGATAGTCCTGAATGAGAAACAGTTAAGAGTGACAGTTACAGTGAAAATATGGAATAATGAAACACGTGTCCATTGGTGTGCATGTGAAGAGCAACGTCCTCAAGATGCAATGATCTGAAATGGTGGAATACGTTGTGCAAGGACAAATTGTTGAAATTTAGAAAATGGCTCCATTCATTCCAATTATTGTGGTTGAGAAATGTGGAAGGAAAAATTCGCCGGATAAAATGTCTGCATCGGTTTGGGGATGTTATCATTAAGAATGTGCAATAGTGAATCACAAAGTAATTTGGTGAATGTGAAAAATAGTCCCCAACATGTTTCGAATGAGGGCGGCACGCCCGCCTCACGGTGCAAAGGTGCGGCGTTCGATTCCGCCTCCGGCCTTCCTGTGTGCCGAGCTTGCATGTTCTCCCCGTGCCTGCGTGGGTTTTCTGCGGGTCCTTCCACATTCCAAAAACAGGTGTGATTGTGAGCGCGGGTGGTTGTTTGTCTATGTGTGCCCTGCGATTGGCTGGTTGGAAGAGTTGAGGAGATAATTGGACCAATTAGAATGATTCTTCTGTAAAAAGCAGGAATTTGGGGAATGAGGAAAATACAACAGTTCATAAGATGCCGTGAATGAGGGGAATATTATGTATCGGGAAATGTGGAAGATGGATGTCACACGATCAAATATCTTGCTTCGTGAAAATGTGGCAAGTTTATAAACGTGACAAATCCTTCCATACACAGTCCTGACTGAGTTGAATAGTTTCCAGATCGAATGGTTTGAAGTGGCGGACAAACGTGGAAGGAAATTGTTGAAAATTGGCATAACGATCATAATAAAAACTATACATTCAATAGTGCTGCTGCTGAATAACAATGAAGAGCGGTCAGTGGACTCACCAGGTGAGCTCTGCCGTTGGCGTAGGCCCGCTGCTGCTGCGGTTGCTGCTGCTGTTGCTGCTGCTGCAGTGTGTCCATGGGACAGGCGGGGGCGCCGCCGAGCTGCTGCTGCTGCGGTGGCGTGTGATGGTTAAAGTGCGCGTACATGTGCGGAACGTCCCGGTATCCCGGCATGGCCACGTCATTGTCGTTGCCGTTGTTGTTCCAGCAGTTCCAGCTCTGCTGCGTCGTCTCCCCGCGGACGTCGCCGCTGCTTTCCGCAGACGACTGCGACGTCGTCATCTCCGTTTGTCGGACGACGGCGACGTCGTCCTCCCCGCTGTCGGAGCCGCAGGACGAGGACGAGCTGGAGTTGGTGTCCATGGAGACCACCGACTCGGCGTCCTGCAGGGTGCACTGCGGAGACGAGGGGTTGGAGCAGGACGGCGACTCCGAGGAAGACGACGATGACAACGAAGAGGACGACGACGAAGAGGAGGAGGAGGAGGATGATGACGATGGCGAGGATCTGGCGTCATTGGGCAACGGTGGGCTCTGGTGGCCGTGCAGCATACTGTGCAGCTGGCTGTTGTTGCTCATCATGTTATTCATGGCGTTCTGCATCTCCAGAAGCATTCGCTGCTTCTCGCGCTTGGGGATGCGGCCGAATCGCACAGCTGAGGATGCACAGTGATGATGACATCAGCGTCAAATTCGAGACTGTCACAGGGGTGGCAAACTCATTATGTCACGGGCCACATGCGCCGATGATTTTGCAATAGTCTTTTCATTTCTTTCCAGACCTGAAAATGTTCTTTTCTTTTTCAGAAAACTTTGCTCATGCTTTTCCACATCACTGATATTTCCATGAAAGGGAAAATTGGTTGTTATCTTCTCTCTTTGGCATGGTTATGCACCTTAAACATAGACTTTAATTAATTCAAGATGGTATGTAAAAAACAGTGTCTGAAAATATTTATTTTCCATTTCATTAATTTCTTCTTGTGTTAAATTATTTCCCCCAGGGAACATTTTTCATGTTTGACTCCATCTAGTGGCCAAGATATGCTACTACAGTGTTCTCCCACCCTTTCGCTGACCACTTTTAGGAACCGCTATCCATTTTCTGAACGTTTGTCCGTGATTATTCACTGACAAACTCACCTATTGACTTGACAGATTTTTCTTTGGGGGGTAACAGTGAGTAGCAATGGCGACTACTAACCATCTCTGGACATGCCAACGGCCAAGCACTTCTTGAAGCGACACTGCTGGCATCGGTTCCTGTTGATCCTCATGATGGTGCAGTTCTCCATCTTGAGACACTTCTTATACTGAATGTTCTGCTGGATGCTCCTGCGGAAGAACCCCTGCGCAAGCACACCACCACCCAAAGTCACTTTAGGCATCAATATTTTCATGGGAGCATTTCTTTATTTGCTTGATTCAAAGGGTGTTTTTTCTTTGATCTGGATAATTTGGCTCAGAATTATTTTGAGATGTTTCAAAGAGGCTTTTATTCTTTTTTTTTTATCTGGCTGTGAATTCTGTGACCAAATTTCTTTTCGACATGTTGAAGGATGACTTTTTTTTTTTCCATTTGGCATAATTTTAATTGACAGTGTTGAGTGATGTTTTTGTTTTTTGTTTTTTGCAAGGGTTACATTTGAATTTTGACTAATTCTTTGTATGATATCCAAGATAATGTATTGATTTTTTTCTTTGTTGACAACTATGGCACAAATTTGTACTCATGACTTTTTAATGATGCGATTCAAGATTTTTTTTTTGGCACAAAAGTATTTAAGAACTTTTTAATGACATGATTAAGAGATGCCCCTTTTTTTATCCAACTGTGCATTTGGACATTAATACATGGTTCAAATCAGATTTTATTAAATCGGTGTTCAATATTGGTGTCTTATTTATTTATTTGTGAGTCTCACCTTGCATCCTTCGCACGCATGGACACCGTAATGGAAGCCTGAGGCGACATCTCCGCACACTTTGCACAGCAGCACCATGCCGTTGATTTCTGGAACGCAAACAAGACATTATTATAAAGCCACGTGACATTATGAATGACTACATTTCACACGAGTCCACGTACTAGTAATACTGCTCTTGGCGGAGGTGGATGAGCGTCCCGCCTTCTCCACTCCGTTTCCCCCTCTGGGTCCGCTCTTGTTGGGTGGCGCTATATCCACCACCATGCCCACCGCCCTGCTGGGTAGCGAGGGGCGAGGAGGGGTGGGCGATGTGGAGAGGAAGCCGCCTCCCACGCCGCCGCTGGGGCTGGTGCTCATGCAGGACTCCGGGCTGGAGGCAGCGCCCGATGAGATGTAGGCGATGACACCGCCTGAGGAGAGGACACGGGGAGATGTCAAACAAATGGACCATGTCGGATCATATAGATGACGGGTGTTGGTGACTGGGTATTTCAATTAAGGGCAATTCTTTTAAGGGGGATTTGTTTGTGGCAGGATGATTAAGTTATGATTTTTGTATTCTTGAAGATTTTTAAATTAATTTTGTCATCAATTTTTATGATGTGTAGGGCTCTTTTAAAAATACTACACACTTCAGAAGGCTATATTATGATTTATTTTAAGCTGGGTGGTTAATTTTGGGGTAACCAGTTTTTATATGGCTCTGAACTTTAGAATCATAATTTTATGACACAATCAAATGCCTTTCTTGGTTGGCGCTCAATTTCAACCTCATATTTCTGACTTTCTACCGCGGTTGAAAAATTATTGTTTCTATTAAAACCTGCAACAGGTTGCTGATGTTAAGTCAAACATAGCTGCTAATCTCATTTTTCACCATGACCAGGCATCCGTTGTAATCCATTCATTAACTTGTCTTGCCCATACCTTTTAAATTTAAAGGGTTGGATGACTGAATGGGTTGGGTTTTACAATGTTCGTGTGTGTGTGTGTGTGCGTGTGTGTGTGTGTGTGTGTGTGTGTGTGTGTGTGTGTGTGTGTATGCGCGCAGGCGACCTGCTTTATCACCTCCAGCCTGCTGGTTGGATAACAAGTGTTACGTAAGAGGCCATGTGCATGTAAGCATGTGAATACATTGGCTGGGAGCTGACTGTACTCTCAGACCAGGTCACCAAAGCAGTGGAGCAAGACAAAATGCTTGAGATGTCAAATAACACACGCGCACCCCCACCCCCACAACGAGTTTGGCAACTGATAACACCCAAAAAGTTCTTCCTGGACATGGTTGAGAGATGCCCTTTTAATTTTTGAACGTTCACATTTTTTGCGATGACGGGGCTTAAGAATTGCTTGTAACATTCCCAGTTACAAGATGATTCAAAGAACAGTTTTAACAACCTTTTGTGAGGTGTATATATATATTTTTTTTGGTGTACATTTTGACATAAAATTGAGATATTATTCGATAACGTTTATTCAAAGTTTGTAAATGACCGTTTATGACAAAGTACTTTATTCTTTTTCTGGATTTTCGTTGAGAATTCCATGAATGAATGAAAAGAAATCCCTTTAAAAAACACTCAGGAGCCATTTTAGAATGCGCAGAGAATGCACATTTAAGCTTTCAAATGGCAAACGTTCGTAAGCATGGAGAATTTGATGGGCTTCATATCAAGTGCTAATGAGCGTTTTTTCATTCTTGTTGGCGTCCACGTAAGTGATTACCTAACGTGCACCGTGACTGCTGTGTTTCTGGTCCCACGCACACGTGTCGCGCGAGTCCCGGCCGTGGGTTGCCGCCAAGCCGCCGAGAATGTGGGTCATCCGGACTCACGTGTACCTCACACTGATGTCCACTGCTGGATTATGCAATGCGCCGCGTCATCGGCTCGCCGGCAGCCAATGAGAGAGCGGCCTGGCCGGTACAAGTGTACACTATGACACGCCCACCGACTAATCAGCAGCCAATCACAGATCGCTTAGAGAAAAGCGTGTACACAGAGGCACATGGCTAGGCTGCCGTGTCCATGTGAGCACGTCCGAGGAAGTGGAACACGGTTGTTGTGTCAAGTGGAAAGTGAATGAAACAACAGACTCTAACCCACATTTAGACACTAAAACGCGGCTACACTCGACTTTTTCCTCAACGTGCAATCTGCGACTAAACACGTTAAGGATTTTAAAGCCCTCTTTTAGACGTCATGGCTTTAAAAAGACATTTTAGACCGAAGGAAATGGATTGTTGTGTCTGTGAGTGAATGAATCGAGCGTGTACTGGCACTCTTAACCCACATTTAAACACCAAAACACGGATATAGTTCACTTTTGCCACCGTTTAACCCCCAGTGGAAAACCTGCAAACAATTTAAACCTCTCTTTCAAATATCAAGGCTTTTAAAAACAGTTCTTTTTCGGTCGAAGAAGTGGAACAGGGTTCTTGTGTCAGTCGTCACGCCAATACGATTATAAACTCGACTTTTATCAGTATGCAACGATGAGGAACACCGATGAAACATTTTCACCTTTTTTTTGAACGCCACGGCTTTAAGACACATTTTTTTAGCTTCGAGCTGTGCAGACAGCAGCAATTACCCCCTCGTAATGTACGACAAAACGCACATATTTAGGACTTAAAGTGATCAAGGTGGAACTTAAAAGGGCAACTGGTGAACAATTTACTCGCACTTTTCAACATTTACATGACATTTTACAGTCAATGTGTCGGCTACTTACCGGGTTTAGCTGGTCCGACGTCTTCGGGCATGTCAGCGAGGAAAAAAGCGAAAAATCAACTCAAAAATAAAGTTGAGGCGAAACTGGTGACCGAAACGGAGGGAAGAAATGACCGGGACACGATTGCGCTTCAGCGGGTCATGTATGTTCCCCAGGTCCGCTCCAGTGACTCACGGCTTGTGTATGTGAGGTAGGGAGAGCTTGAGGGAGGATTGGAAAAAATGAGAGCAAGAGGAGGGACACAGAGACAGGAACTCCCCCCTCCACCTTCTCCTCCGGCTTGCTGTGAGACAAGAACTGAATGTTCCACCGCCGCCGTTCGCCGCTCATGCGCTGACCCCCTCCGCCCATGTGACCAAGCTCCAGCCTCTCTTCCCCAGCCACGCCTTGCCGGCCGGCCCTGCTGCGACCACTTTAACCCAGTGACACACTTTCAGGGCACCGGGCGTGGGCGGAGCTTGGTCGACGTAAGTGACGTAACGTAATCGAAGCAGCGGTCACGTTGCAGCCGGAAAGTGCTGCGTGACGCGGCCTGAGACCGGGCATGCGCAAACGTTCGTGCTCGTGTCAGCAGCAGTCGCCTCACCCAACCTCTTTTTTTAATGCTCATAATTTGTACATGTATAAACATGATCTGACCCTAAATGGTAAACAAAAAACGCAATAGAAAGAAGTATCTGATTGGAAATCTTGTGTTTGAGCCAAAATGAAGTAGTACAACGTTCCTTTTTTAACCAAACCAAAGTGGTGGAACACACGTTGGAAGGTTTCAATGTTATTTCACTGTGCTACATCATAATAAAATGTCATCTTCTGCTTGGAAATTAAGATGAGTCATTTGTAGAAAGATGCACACACAATGGATATAAAAAGTTGACACACCCCTGCTCAGATGCCAGGTTTTGTGATTTAAACAATAATTCAACATTTCAAATCTTTTTCCACCATCAAAATGAATTATAATCGGTCAAACTTAATTAAAAAAACTTTACGAAGGGAAGAAAAAACAAATAACTACAATAATGTAGCTGCACAAGTGTGCACACCCTCTTGGGTGTGGCTGTGTTTAGAAACTACCTGTCCATTCACAACTGCTATTATTTAAAGTGGCAGGTGTGCACTGACTCACTGACTTCGGAAAACTTTTTTTTAAATGGGAAAGTATTTTTAAATTTTTAACAAGTGAAAAGCATATATATATATATATATATATATATATATATATGAAACCAATTACAATAAAGTTGTATTCAATTCAATAAGAATCCTTTTTGTTGGTTTAAGTTTGGAGTTACAACAAAAAGAAGGAGCAGATTTGAAAAGCACACATCGTTAAAAAATAGTTTGATTTAGAAATGTGTGCCCCTGTGGGCTTGTGTGCGCGTGCGTGCACATGCATGTGTGTGCATGTCGGGGGGTTATAACAATTGAACCACCTGCAACAACAGGTAAAACTGTCCAGAACTGGCCCTGATAGCAAACCATTTGTTTACATTTAATATTCATATTTTGAACAAACAAGCGTATGAGACAGGAAGCTAAGACACCCAAATGTTCCAGGTCTGGAATGTGTCCTTGCTTAGTGTTTTGTACATAAAAAAAAAAACAAAAAAAAAAACTGGTGCACACACACTCACGCACACATCCACACAAAACTATATTTAAACACAACAGTGGCAGCCAACAACGGACTAAATGAGGCATTTTTTCCCCCATGGAGGTTTCCAATGAACGTTTCCTGCATGCGCCGGGAACACTGTGTGCGCACAACAGCTCAGACACGCAGTGTTTGCACGTGACACCAGTGCTGCGGGGGAAATGCACTCACACTGGGACATACCATATATACTCCAAAGGCTCATGTATTCACATGCTGATAATCTGCACTACACAGAGACCATATATGAGTTACAGTACATCCCTCCCACATGTTTGAAACACATTGAAAACGGCATGAATTTATTCACTTATTACCTTTACACCTCATTTCAATCTCTCGAAGTCAAGAAATGGGATACCTATACTATCATATAACATCACTAAGGGAACAAAAAATGTAAGACTCTCACTCGCACATCACTCCAAACAAGAAGCTTACTGTAAGCCTGGCACATAAAACAAAAGTATATTTCCAATTACTACTTTAAGGTTGGGTCTCTTGAAAGGTGCTATAAAGAAATTTCCAGGTATTAATCATTCAAGTAGGTGTTGTGTGATAAGATGGGATAGAGCATTAACCTGCACAATAACAATAAACAGTTCCCGCTGACACTGTCAATTTACGCTAGCACGTGGAAAGTTTTTAGCTGCTGCGAGGACTAATAAGATATCAAAAGTGCACGTGCGTGTACTTAACCTCGTGTATGACTCTTTCTATATTCACTTGACAATTGAAAATAAAACAAAACAGTGACTTGTTTTTTTACACCAACACACACATATAAATGATGAATCAGTTTTAGGCTCGGATCAAAAATCTCAAACTGAAAAATGGGCCACAGGACTTTGTTTGATTTTACAGTTAACCTGTAAATGAACATGTTTGCAATTTTATTCATGGCAAGTAAAGCAAACAAACTTCTAAACTGCCACAAAACAACCAGTCAATCGAGACATACTGTAAAGGCACAGTTCCTGGGCTATTATTACATAATGCTTGAAAGGGGGAAAAAAAAAGTAACTAAGTTACGGTGATTAAAGGGCATTGTCTGCTCACCCAAGTCTACTCCACGCACGTGTGTTGCTGCGTGCGGATATGAATGAGTTGAAACCAAGGCACGCGGATGAAAACTGCAGTGATGAAAATTGTCACTTCTTCCTCAAATCTGCAGGCTCCCACTGGTAATACGCGAAGGAAGCACTGCACAAGTGCATTTCAGTTGTATTTCACTTTTATAGAAAACTGTCATTCAATCTTTTAGAACTGTTTGTTTTCAGACTTGGACATACTATTTTATTCATCCATCCATTTTCCGATTCGCTTCATACTGACAAGGGTCGCGGGGGGATTCTGGACCCTATCCCAGCTGTCTTCGGGCAGTAGGCGGGGGACACCCTGAACCGGTTGCCAGCCAATCGCAGGGCACACAGAGACAAACAACCATCTGCGCTCATACTCAAACCTAGGAACAATTTAGAGTGTTCAACCAGCCTGCCATGCATGTTTTTGGAATGTGGGAGGAAATCGGAGTACCCGGAGAAAACCAACGCAGGCACGGGGAGAACATGCAAACTCCACACAGGAAGGCCGGAGCACGGCTGATCGTGATCCTGGTTCTGACTGTGGCGGCGAACAATCTAACGTGGTATGACTGATGCATGTAAGCAAACTTCTGTAACCCGACCAATTAAATATTGAAACCAAGCTAGTTTTGCATTTTTGATCCTAAAAATGAAGTATGAAAATATGGCAATTTTGCCACTTTATTTAGCTTTACTATATCCGCTTGAAAATGGAAATCGCCAATAATATACGGATCAGAAGCAGGATGAGTGGAATAATACTTTTTAAAAATGACACAGACACCACTTCCTTTCTGTTGTGTTCTTTTATTTCCATATTTGCGCAGATAACTTAATCAGGAAGCAAAAAAATATACCAGACAATAAAGTACTAAAAATCTGAGATAAAAACCAACCCCCCCAACACAGACGACCAGGAGCCCCCACCACTCCTTGGACTTCCTCCTCCTCTCCTCCTAAACCCACTGCCGCCACCTGCAGGTTCAAGTGGCGTATCGCTTGGTCCACTGTTTGGCTGTTCGATCATGTTCGGCTCTGTTAGTTGTGTACTGGGTGGCGATGCTTCCCACCAGAGGGTCGGCTGCAGGCAAAGTTGACTTCATTAGACTGATTTGCTTTTATGGTTATTCATCAGACTTAACTAAAACTCAACTTTTTGTTACAATTGCGCAATATCTGTCTAGTGTATGTGGGTCGAATGTGCTAGCAATCTGACAAAATCCCGAAGTCAAGTTCATCTTTGAAGGACCTCTGAAAATGGTGGGAAAGGATCTCTCGAATGACAAATCAAAATGGCCGACTGAATTATGGGTCATGTTCCCAAGTCAGATGACTCGTTTCAAACTATTGGAAGGATCCCTGGAAGTGTGCAAATTGCCGTAAAACGGTTGATTCCCATGTCTCTTCAGGCATAAATTCTTGAGCCTTTTTTGTGGGTCAACACATGCCTACCAAATTCCTGTTGCTACGCCAAACCAAGCTTCCAGGGCTTTCTAAAAACAGTGACGATGGTAGGTCCCCGTGTGTGTGTGTGTGTGTGTGTGTGTGTGTGTGTGTGTGTGTGTGTGTGTGTGTCAACTTGGTCACATCGTAATAGAAATTTTAAACAGTAGGCATGTCTTACCTGGGTTACAGTCTGTGAGCAGGGAGCAGATGGACAGCAGCACCTTGGAGATGGTGAGGGCGGGGCTCCAATTATCCTTCAGGATGTCCAAACAGATCACGCCTTGACTGTTAATGTTGCAGTGGTAGATCCGAGTGCGGAACGTCACCTAAACAAACAAATACGCATGGCCAAGCAACACTTCAATACAATGCCAAAAATGTGCACTTTTTATTGTCATGTAAATTCGTTTACCTAAAAGCACAATTGCCTATTTCATTATTAACTTGCCTTCACAAAATCAATTAACAAAGCCCACATACAATTTTTTTTTAACGTCCATGTAGATTCTCAGCCATCCAGATCAAGGTACAATTAATGTTGTTTTTTTTAAAGGCTAAAACTGAATTAGACGATGATATTATTAGGCTAATATTAGGTGGTCACCAACTTTTTTGAAGCTGACAAATACGACTTGGATACTAATTAATGCAAAGCGCTACCACTTTGATAGACACTTTTGAAATCACACATTTGTTCAAATTACCTCAAATGGTGTAATATTAGATGCGATTGCTAAAAGTCAAGATACACCTATGACGACATGATCATGTGAAATGATTTCTCCCGATATTTAAGGAAGAGATCAATATGGAACACTTGATTTCAATAAATCTCTGCTCGTGTTTACATTTTAAAATGATCACTTCTAGACCATTCCTAGAAAATCAATGCCCCATTCCCGGTGAGCTACTTTTAGAACAGGCACGCGGGCTTCTCATATGGTCCTTAGGGGGGAACTTTGGCTGGTGACACGTGAACTAACGAAATATTAATAATATGCCTGTACTAAACATGATGCAGTCAAAGCTGCTGTTGATGTTGTGATTGAGGGCAGCCCATTCAAAAGTGTGCACTTTTACGTGGTGCTTAGACGCCCTCTGGAGGCCGCTATGTGCTCTGTGCACTCACTGTTCAGCCCCGTGTGTGTGTGTGTGTGTGTGTGTGTGTGTGTGTGTGTGTGTGTGTGTGTGTGTGTGTGTGTGTGTGTGTGTGTGTGTGTGTGTGTGTGTGCGTGCGTTTTACCAACAGTTATGGGAGTCAAGACACATATCATTCCCAAAGGGGCTGGACAAATATCACAAATTACAAAACATCACATCACCTTTGTTTGCTGAATTGATTCATTCTGTGACCAAGCTTGCAACTCAATTTACTTGCATATCCAATCAGTTTTCTTTGTTGTTATGAATAGAAACACCATTAATCCATTTTAGCCCCTCTCAAAAACACGACCACGTGTGCCTACTGGAATGGAGACGGTCTCCACAATTTATACACGAGACCTCGGTTGGTGCCGCTGTTCCTGTTAGCAACAGAGTTTAAATCTGCTCAGCATGTCATGTCTACTTGTAAACAATAGCGTAACACTGACTGCTTGTTTACTTTTTTTCCTCCTCCTGATGGGGGAGCTGAGGTATCTATTTGAGGGAGGTGTTTAAGTGGATGACGCACCGGGCTGCTAATCACATTAGCATTGGGCTAAATCTGGTGTATTCACAGCAAAGCTTTGCTTGCTCATTAATATGTCATGTCACATTCAAATTCATTCGGGGATACGTTCTGGACACGCAGGTGAAAATGGAAGAAAAAGACCATCCAAAAAATATATTTAGGAAAAGCTGTATCCCTCCCACAGACTGTACACATTTAAACATTAAAAACCACTAAACAATAAAACATTAAAAAGGTTTTGTTTAGTTGGAGATCTGCTCATTACACTGCATCTCCAAGTACACTTCAGCAGAGCTCAACATGCTGTGCCACAACAATTCTAGGACTTGCCTGTATTTCGAAGAAAAAAAAAAATCTTCAAAACTGGTCACCATCGTCGGGGCGCAAACAACCAACTTTGATAGAGTGTTGCAGCACTGTAGAGACGTATCAGACTGCGTCTGACTGCTTTTATATTGAGTATTTCATCCCTGGGGCTCAGTGAAATTAAGTGTTATTTGAAAATAGCGACTTGTGCTGTATGTTTTATTCATAGCGCTTCTGAGGTTTTGTAGGTATATGTGAAAAGTGCCTTTTTGTAGTGTCAAGATGCTTGTACGAGGTATTCTGTGAGCGTCTTTATCAATGGCCTATTTTTGTAGTTCACCACATAAGGACTTTTTTTCTTGTCCTTCAGTCGTACTAATTAGGCAGCAGGATTAAGAATAAATGATTGCAACCAAGGTGAATGAGTCCCATTGGAACCCTTAATAGTGTCTCAATCATTCACACGTGTAAAGCTGGCTGGATGTTTAATGCGAACACACCTCACTCACCATATGACGATAACATTTTTCTACTTAAATATGCAATGTTTAAATTATTTTTGCTGTATGTGCCAGTGTTGCAGTAAACCTCCACTTGGAGTGAAACAGATTGAGGCAAACACACTGCGAGTCTTCTTTTCACTTGCACAAAGCGATGTCATTCGACAAGTCTCCCAAAAAGAGATGGAGGGGCGCCAAGCAACACGGGGATGCCTTGACTTGGAGTGTAATTTATTGTGTGAGCAAGCTTAATTTAAGACACCCATATCTCATGATCATCTGATCATCCTGAAATCATATCGTCATTAAATCTCGAGAAAAGTGTTATAAGATCCTATTAAACTCTAAAATATGTCAGGTCACTCGGAAGTCGAGATGCCACGTTAAAGAGAGTTCACAACATCAAAGTATAATTGCATTTCAAGCATGTCGGAAATTAAAAAAAATGTTTTGGGTCCCAATATGGTGGGTTTTCACCGAATGGGTCCGGAACGCATCCTCCGCCATAGACAGCGCCTCGCTGCAGATAATGTACCTTGGGTGGCTTGAAAGGGTAGTCGGGCGTGAAGGCAATGTCCAGGAAGAAGACGCCCCCCTCATACACGGAGCCTGGCGGTCCCAAGATGGTGGACCTCCACTCATAGATGTTGTCTCCTTTGGGGCCGGCGCTGCGCGCACACACAAAACAATCAGGTGAGACAAGTGAGAGTGTCGCATGAAACCGCATCCTGACAACACTCGGGGTGAAAACATCCGCCAAGCAGGCAAATGCAACAGCAACAATACCACAGTCACATCACTACATGTTTTACTGACAAAAAAAAAAAAGAAAAAAAGACAGACCTTGCTAAATGTGAGACAATTTGGGGCTATATTAATTAGTTTAAAGAAATACAGTGCCAAAACCTGCTACTTTTTAATTAGGGTGGACATATATATACTCCAATTACCAATTTTGAATACATTGTTATATTTGGGTTTATTAGTTAAAATAATGACTGGATTTGGGAAAAGTTTACTGGGTCAATAAAAAAAGATTTTTTTAAAGAATTGTAGATCGATACTTTTTAATAATAACGTTGGATACATCATCAGACGCCTTCAGGACTGTTACATTAACTCAGTAAAAAATTCCGGGCGGAAATTGGCTAGTGTTTGATTAAAATGAAAATGTTATCATAAAACTTTACTTTCAGAAGTCGCAGTGACTTATTAATAATGACGATGTATTTGCCAAATATGAATGAATGTTCATGGTGTTCAACTGTTTTGTGTCATGAATTAGTTCAAGCAGAAAACCACATTCGGGCAATGTTGATAGGTATTGAAGAATACATTTTTTTTGTCTAACGTGAAGAGTAACAAAATGTTTCATACTTTAAACTTAAAATTACCAAATGATTTTTGGCCCAGAGAGTGTACTCAGAGACCCCTACCAGCATGCTTGAGACCTTCAAGATCAAGTGTAAAGGCATCAAAGAGCTGCCTGTCACTGACCTGCAGTTTGGTGGCGGGTCCAGTGTGATGTCAGCCAGCTCTTTCTGAATCCTACACAAAGACATTCACGTAAAATAAATCAATTACAAAAAAAAGCATTACTAGCAAGCACAAACAGATTTCATAGTCTGGAAATGGAAATGAGCTTCAGTGGCTAAATGCTATGCTTGGTTCAAATTTTACTTCAAGGTGACTTCAGTTTCAAATTCCTCAAACTCAGTTGTGGCGATACAGAATTTTGACAGAGGTTATCTGCTCAGGCGCAACATGTAGTGCCTAGTTATGTCTAAACCCCCAAAAATGTGTCTTCCATTCGGATAGACCACTGACGTGCACTCATTGTTGCCCATGAGTGCCCTCTCTTCAAGGTGAAAAGCCACAAGGAGGTTGGGGTGAAGTGACTGAAGTCTCCCCTTACGCTTTGATGTAGCCACTATAAAGCGCCTTGCCTAATTTCCTTTTAGTCAGAGAATGGCTTGAGAATCTTTAATGTGCCCTGTTGTCAGCCACAAGCGCATGTACATGGCCGAGAGAAGCCGGAAAAGAGAGATGGTTATAAATCCCGACAGGACAGCAGTGTATGGCCAAGGGATTGGTGCTTGCGTATCACTTTTCTGAACACCTCATTGTCTCAGCGTGGACAAGTCCTTTGATAACCAGAGCCCTGTACCCATTGAAGGCTTTAAGTCGATATATTTTTGCAGATCAAACATGCATTTATGTGCAGTGAGACGAAAGATTTGATTGACTGTTGACAGGGGTGTGGTTTCAACGCATTCAACGGACACATCCACAGCGTTCCAGCTTGATGTTTTATGATTTTTAAAGCCTGTGCTTGGAGGTTTTTCTGAACCAATTACAGTTTGCAGGGTCAACATTTGTCTGTGGGGTGTCACGTTTAGAAAATATTTATTTTCACTTTACAGGGACTTTAAAAATGAACATATTGACATGAAATAATAGTGATGATGTGACCTCTTGGCACTGGTGGAAAGCAGCTTGGAGGTCTTGCTCATGCTGGCTTTGCTCTCACGCTTCTTCTTGCAAGATGTGTCCTTCTGTCTGCTCTGGCTGGACGACGGCGGCGATGACGAAGAGCTGGTGCTGGCACGAGAATCCTCATCCGACATTCCGGTTTGGATTGGAGAAGAACCCGGACCTGGACAACACAAATCACCTGTGTTAAAATATTTTTTTGGGAATGAAATGCATCATAAATACATAATATTGTTTAATACTATGCATTTTCCAGTGCACAGTACATGTGCACTGTGATATCTTCTATTTATAGTAGGCACTTCAGGAGCAGCATTCAGAATCAAGTTCCTCAATTGTTATCTGGGGTCATCATTTGTGAGGGATTTGTTTTTTTTAATTTTTTTAATTGTCGTGATGACAATGGTCAACAAACAGTAAAGAAAATGTCTGATTCTTGATATGAACATTCCTCAAACGATTTAATTCTGTCAATATTGATCTAGTCATAATTTCTGATGGAATTATTTTGAAAATAGTTGTGGAGGAAAGAAAATGTCCATGAAGAATGGACGAGCAGCTCAATTTATTTATTGGTTAACATTTCCTTGGTGATAACTGCGCAGAGGGAATCGTAATTTATTTATTTATTATTGTAGCGTCGTGAGTGCTCAACACTTTGGAAAGAAAAAAACGTCAGACTTTCTTGGATTAACGGTCCTCAAAGGATTTCTTTGGTCACAGCTTCACGCAATTGCCATTTGAGATCACAAAATTGATTTCTTTTGCTCAAATTCTGTGAAGGAATTGCAATTTCCATATTTATTTTGACTGCAGCGGTGGTCAGTCTCAACAGATTCTAAAGAGAATGTCCGACTTCTTCGGCATGAACAGTGCTCAACTGATATTTTTGAGGGAACTGCAATTTCTGTTATTTTAACATACATGCTACATAGCGATGCACTGTCGAGTGCAGTCTTGTCCAATCGGTCTCCATTGGGTCGGCACTCAATGTTATTTTTTGGGGTGCTGTAGGTGTTAGCATGCGGCTCTTTTAAGTGCAATTACATCACTAACCTCGCAGGCACGATGAACAGGCCCAACAAGTGTATTTGTTATCCTCACTTCTTTGTCAAAATGCAAATAATATCGACTGTTGTGATAGTTGAATTAGCTTGATGGCGATAGAGGAGTCAAGACTTTTTTTTCAACGTTAGCATCACCGTTAGCCTTCGTGCTAACAGTGCTTCCATTTCATTTCACACAATTTCTTTTGGTGTTAAGACGCTGCCGGTTATTAAACTGGATTCCCAGTGCGTGGTGCGTAGGATATATGTTGTCGGAATGAAGCAAAAACAAACAAAAAAGTGTGTCATAAAAACCGCTGTCGGGGCAACAGCTATTCATCAGGCCCGACTAAGGCCATGACTACTTCCTGGAACGGCGTGGCTGCGACGGACCTTTAAACTAGGACCTAACTTACGCGTTAAACACGTTTGAAGGTATCCAAAAGCACGAGTGGATAAGTTTAAAAGAAAAAGGAACGTTTCGAGACAAACCATACAGTCTAAAGCGTTAGAGACACGACTCTATGTCAGCTCATAGCCGCGGCCGTTTTTCCACTACAGTCTATTATGTTTTGTCTCGGTTTTTTTTTTTTTTAACACTGCTCGGCGGTCACAACAATTAGTCAACAACAATGGAGGCGTAGTAGTCCATCAAGCTTTTAAAGTCATCAGGCAAATGTTGCGTTAGCTGCTTCGCCATGCCGGGCTCGATCACCCGGATCCGCACTCACCCAGTCTCTTTTGTGTCTGGACCTCCGCCGGCTGGCTGGCTGGCTGCTGCCTTGTCGCCCTCTGCGGAACGGAAGTAGCTCTCCTCGGCCGCAGTGGGCTGGACTGCGCCGGTGCCTGCTGGTGGAGGTGATGTGGAGATGAGGAAACGCCGCAACCGCAACGTCAACGTCTTTCTCGACGCCTTCCCCACTCGCTCTCTCACACGCGGAACCGCGCGTGCACACACACAGCCACACAAAAAAAGTCAAGCGGAGTCGCGAGAAGTGCCTTTGATGGATATCCGACAGTAAACGTTTTTTTCAACACCCAAGATTTTTTAAAATGTGCTGGATAAACAATGACGTCATGGCGTCACAACAGCACCAGGGATTGCTGAGATTTGCTCAAGCGGATTTCAAAATCGGCAACTTGTATAAACTATCAGTTTTTTTATTGCAAAGTATGGAATGCACAACAGACTATTTCGGTCGTGAGATTCTAGAGGATTTTTCAAATGGTGTCTTTAGAGCGACATTTCTTTGGTCCTGAGGGGACTGCAATTTCAATTTATTCGGTCAAATTTTCTGTTTTTAAGGTTGTATTGTGAATGATTAACAAGATTGTATAGAACAATACATATGACGTCTCTGGGATGAACACTCACACAATTAATTGATTCGCGTGACATTTCATTGTGTCCAATGGACAATGATTTCTGAGGGAACAACAATTTCTTTTTTTTTGTACATGTACTTAACTGATTGGGGGAAGAATTGAAATCTTCAATTTATCCCTTTGGAAATTATGACCAAAGACATTTCGACAAAGGAATCGTACTTTCTTTTTTCCCCCCCAAATGTTATTGTTTTTGGTTTGAAGTTTTCAAAATGAAGAATTCGTAAAATGTTTTATTTAAAAATTACGCAATTGATTTCAACGTTATTAAAATGATATGCAACTTTAAACGTATGTAGCAGTAAATCATTAAAATAACTTGCACGGAATGGCTTTAGTTGGTGTTTGTATAGTTATGTGAAGCATGACAACATTGTTAACCGGACTAGAGTTGTTGACTCACGAGCACACACTTACCACGTAACCTGCAGCTATGTTTCTGGAGGGGAGGTTTTCGTTTTGGATGGGACGCTTTTTGCTATTTGAGGACCTCTAGCGGTGGTCAATGGCAGTGATTTGTAGGACGAGAACAAAAGGGCAGTGCTGTATCTCTTCAGCACTTCACCACAATTGTTTGCGTCTACTCAACGCAACACAGATGTGAAGCAGTTGTCAGCAGCAGCGTTTATACAAATAATATACATATAATCCTGTCATGAGAGATTATGGTCCAAGGGGAGATTGGCCAATCCCAACATGTCATCGCAGTCTTCGGGGTATTCCATTTGCCATTGATATGGACCAATTTCAGATGTTTCTTCGTGCCTGCGAGTATCCACCAGTCAGCAACAGCTAGTCATGGGCCCAATGTGGGGGACTCCTGACCTATTGTTTCTGCAATTTGGGGCCCAAAGAGATTGCCTGGCTTGCCTGCACTGTTGCAGCATCTCTGATGGCCCTTTTTCACCACATTTATGCTAATGCTAGTTGCGGGCCAGTGTCCAGTTTAGCGCCAGTCCTTTCTTTTTCCACCACTAAAATTGGCTCTAGTTTTGGTGCTTGAAACTGGTGCTAAAAATGGCCCCAATTGAATGTTGGGCCAGACTATGTTTGCAAGTTTATGGATTTGAAATTTTAGCAAGCATCGTGGAAGTTAACATGCTTAATTTGCTTTGCGGGCCACATAAAATGATGTGGCGGGCCAGATTTGGCAACTGTGTTGTAGCATGTTAAATTAACAAAGGGTCACCATTTCCTTTGGGGTGGGGGAAAAAACACATTTAGAGATTCCACTGCCATTTTTATCATGGGTATAAAACATCCATTATTATTTTTTATAGCTTTGAATTTTCAGTTTATTTGCACATATTGTGAGTCAACCAAAAAAAATTTGCATTGACACACCTAAAATGGTTCAAAAGCAAGGAAGCACAATGGACACACTGTCCAGGATAAAGCAGAGAACATTAATTTTCGTTTTGGTTCCCTTTCTAGACAGAAATGACAAGAAAGTCTTACCTGCCAAAAGACAAAAAAACACTTGCTTTTTCTGCACTCATGAGAAATGCTGAAACAACAGGAAATGGGGCAAAAAAATGGGAGATAAAAGAGAGTGCGAGCAGAGTTGTTTTCTCACAAGCCAACCACAGTGTGTTTTTATTGGGTGTTTTCAGTAATACAAGTGCACAACAGCAGCGGCGCGGGTAGCCAGTCAAATATACAAGTCCTGCCCTCTTTTCTCAGGCAGACCTCCACACACACACACACACACACACACACACACACACACACACACACACATACGCGCACGCACGCACGCACATACACAATGGTTATTTTTCTGTCGGGTGGTCTGCCTGAAAAAAAAAGTCTTTGAAAAACTACATACAGTACAAAGAAAAAGCGGAGGAGGGTAAAAAGCATGAAGGCTCCTGTTCCATGCACGTCCAGACCAATACAACAACAAAAAAAGAAGAGAAAGTAAAAAGCGCACATTGTCTTCAAAATGGCAAATAGAAAATGAGAGTGATGTAATTGTTTGTGTGTGTGTGTGTGTGTGTGTGTGTGTGTGTGCATGTGTATTGGGACGACAACGAATATGATGCCAATAATCAGGGGTGCACATTATTTTGGTCTGGTTCTCAAAGGAGCACCAGCGGTTGTTACTTGGTGCTCTTTCTTTCTTTTTTTTTTTTTTAACCCACCCACAGATTTCACTGGATAAACATAAAACTTACAGTCCCTGGCGCTTTCTGGCATGTGCGAAATGTGTGATGGCACAAGGTGGCATGGCTGGTGGCGAGGCAATGCAGAATTGATGTCACTCTTCCTGTCACTGTGGATGAATATTTCTTTCAAGTTTCTTGGCTCTTCGTACCGCTGCAATTTTGAAGGTAAGTTTGCTGACACTGGTTGGGCAAGATAGCAGCTGCTGCTGGCTACCTTTTCAGATCAGTCAATTGCCTTTGTTCACCATGTCATTTTTGCCGTCGGTGTGATTGTTTTACCCATATATTCTAACTGTAAAGTTTGTGTGCTATTAAAAAAAAAAATGTAAGCGTCAGAGAGGGTAAATGAAAAGGAAATCCATGAGGGGTCTTACACAGGGTGTCATTCAAGATAGTCCCCAATCTATTTTGCATCACAAACTGGTTTCACAAAGATATTTTGACAGACTGTAATAGCGCAGTGAGACCGCGATGCCCACAAAGCAACCCTACCGCATCGCTCAGTCTGTGTTGCCGCCCTGCGGCTGAACTTAACTGAACAGAGAAAGGAACGAATCAGTTCAACTCAAAAGAGTTGTTGTTTTGAACGAATCATTTGCAAACAACACAATGCTATGAGTCCTTCTCCCCCCCCCCTCCCCCAAAATAAAAACAAAAACATGCAAAAGTGTGGCTACACCAACGCGCAGCAACCTGAATCACTTAAATCTGGTGTACGTAACATTTTCGGTGCGCATCTGCACCTGGCCACCGCTTCTGTGCACCCCTGCTTATAACGGCATGTTTGTGTCTTGTATTTCCAATGCAATACTTCCAAGTTCCAACATTCACATATTGGAAAATAAAAATCCCCCAATCTACTACTCTTTGTATAAAAAAGAAGCTTTCAAGTCAACAAGGAACAAAAAGGAGGATTTGTGTGTTTAATATTCTTTTTTTTTTGTGTGTTTTTAATTTTTTGAAACACATAAAATGTTTGGGGAGGAGGAAGAAGAGAAGGGTCGGGTACAGCGATGCACTTAGTGAGTGTGCTTTGACGGACCAAGGGGAGAAAGAGGTAGAGTGGTAGAGTGAGGAGGAAGAGGAGGAGGAGGAGGTCGAGGAGGCGGAAGAGCGCGGCTCAAATGTGTGTGTGTATGTGTGTGTGTGTGTGTGTGCATGTGTGTGCATGTCTATGTGGCATATCTCTTGGTCCACTGCTTGGCTATCCTGTCATGCTCGGTTCTGTTGGTCAGGTACTGTGTGGCGATGCTTCCCACCAGGGGGTCGGCTAAAGAAAAAGTGGGACACCATATCATTAAAGGCAATGAGTAGCGGGTGGGGGAAAGCAGCATTTCACATGAAATAACCTTCAGAACTAGAACAAACAACCACTGCGTTGCTGATATTTAAAGGCAAAGTCAAGTCTTCTTTACAGTAATATGTTCTATACGGCCCTAATATTCCAAACAAAGTACTATTTGGACTCATATTGGGTCTGTGGAATATGAATGAAGCAGCAGGTGGCGGCCAATTTGACACTTGCTGTCGACTGAAAATGACATCACAGTGCCTCAGGGCTCAGCCTGCGAATGTCACATGACCAAAACCAGAAAACAGGTGAGCTGCGATTGGTCAAGCTTTCACGCACGCATGCATGCATGCACGCACGCACGCACACACACACACAAAATCCCTTTCTGGGCGTTCAAGCAAAGGCGAGACCAAACCAACTGACTCAACATACTTCTTCCTTGAAAATCACACCAGTGGGTCAACACAAAAATAATACAATCCCAGTACCCTGAAGGTGAAAACTCAATGCTGGGTTGTAGCTTTTCTGTTAGCAGTGCAACAGTCGATAGTGTGCTGCAAAAAGTTGCACCTGTAATTTCTTTTCCTGATCGTCCACTTGTGTTCACTTTGCATCATAAACATCGTGTTTTGGTGTTACCTGGGTTACAGTCTGTGAGCAGGGAGCAGATGGACAGCAGCACCTTGGAGATGGTGAGGGCGGGGCTCCAATTATCCTTCAGGATGTCCAGACAGATCACGCCCTGACTGTTGATGTTGCAGTGGTAGATCCGAGTGCGGAAAGTCACCTACAACACACAACATCTTAGCAAGACTTACACAAGGCATTGTCCTGGATTTGCTGGGTGCACTGTGAAAGGGATAGTTTAAAATGAACCCGTGACACATTGTCCATCAGGCTGCTGATCAAAAGGAGGCTTTTGCCCCATGTTTGTTTCATGTGAAGGGGTATAGACACAGAATGTGGGTGCTTCAAATAGGCTGCAGCTATTGATATTCGATCGATTATCCCATTGATTCATTGGATAAAAATGATTTTGCATTATTCGACACAATACACTAACGTGCATATGAGGTGCAGGTGTTA